GATGGAAGGAGGTTTTCACTCAAAATCTCACGATACATGGCCCCATTCATTCTTTCCTTTACACGGATCAGTCGTCCTGGTCCCTTTGCAGAAAAACAGCCCCAAAGCATGATGTTTCCACCCCCATGCTTCACGGTAGGTATGGTGTTCTTTGGATACAACTCAGCATTCTTTGTCCTCCAAACACGACGAGTTGAGTTTTTACTAAAAAGTTATATTTTGGTTTCATCTGACCATATGACATTCTCCCAATCCTCTTCTGGATCATCCAAATGCACTCTAGCTAACTTCAGACGGGCCTGGACATGTACTGGCTTAAGCAGGGGGACACGTCTGGCACTGCAGGATTTGAGTCCCTGGCGGCGTAGTGTGTTACTGATGGTAGGCTTTGTTACTTTGGTCCCAGCTCTCTGCAGGTCATTCACTAGGTCCCCCCGTGTGGTTCTGGGATTTTTGCTCACCGTTCTTGTGATCATTTTGACCCCACGGGGTGAGATCTTGCGTGGAGCCCCAGATCGAGGGAGATTATCAGTGGTCTTGTATGTCTTCCATTTCCTAATAATTGCTCCCACAGTTGATTTCTTCAAACCAAGCTATTGCAGATTCAGTCTTCCCAGCCTGGTGCAGGTCTACAATTTTGTTTCTGGTGTCCTTTGACAGCTCTTTGGTCTTGGCCATAGTGGAGTTTGGAGTGTGACTGTTTGAGGTTGTGGACAGGTGTCTTTTATACTGATAACAAGTTCAAACAGGTGCCATTAATACAGGTAACGAGTGGAGGACAGAGGAGCCTCTTAAAGAAGAAGTTACAGGTCTGTGAGAGCCAGAAATATTGCTTGTTTGTAGGTGACCAAATACTTATTTTCCACCATAATTTGCAAATAAATTCATTAAAAATCCTACAATGTGATTTTCTGGATGTTTTTTCCTCAATTTGTCTGTCATAGTTGACGTGTACCTATGATGAAAATTACAGGCCTCTCTCATCTTTTTAAGTGGGAGAACTTTCACAATTGGTGGCTGACTAAATACTTTTTTCCCCACTGTATGTTTCAATTCTATTTATCATAATATATGTTTGTAAACTTACTATTAAAAAGTACTATAATGATTGAGCGTCCATTTAGCTGTACCATCATATTTGCACTACTAAACCTCCAATTGTTCTTCACTATGCCACCCACTAAATCCTCCCCCCATCCCAACTTGGGTTGTCGTCCCAGTGACTGGAAGATCACCCCCACCTGGATCCTAGGGCCTTTGAACGATTGGGACACATCCTTTAAAAAGAGCACACAGTGCCACCACAGAACAGAAGCAGATTAACTGCCAAAAGCATTCCCAATACCCTCACCTCAATTGTATTGTATACAGTAATTTAAAAATATATATATTATTTGGTAAAGCTATAAACAGTTTATATCAGTATACATATCTTGATTGTGCTCTTCTTTTCATCTTTTGAAAGTGCATGTCATTGCTATAGGGACACTTTCTTTAAGTAGTCTATAGTGTGAGAACAGGAATAGAGAGAAACCGAGATCATGCCTTGGCCTCTGTTGGCCTGGCAATGTGCAGACAGAGGGAGAGGAGGCAGGGGATTTGAAATGCGTCTGGTGTCTCGAGTGCTGCCTGCCTGCCATCAATAGAGGAAAGGGTTCCTGGTGGCTCTATTGATATGCAGGTCACACACACACACACTGCTGTGTTCTTATCAGCCTCCTCACAATATGCAACCATGCAGGAGGCATTCTCGATCTATGACATCAAATTAGCTCCACAGACAACGAGTGAATAGTTGTTTCTCTGGATCTTAAACCACTTGCCTGACAGCAATGTCTAAATGTAGGTTTAGGTTACATACGAGCTTATGAGAAGTAATCCTTTACCAGATACAGGCAATCTGACATGGATGGCATGTAGACCCATACCATCAATATACTGTAGTTACTCCACAATACTAACCTAAATGACAGAAGGAAAAGAAGGGAGCCTGTACATAATAAAAATATTCAAAAACATGCATCCTGTTTGCAAAAAGACACTAAAGTAATACTGCCAAATAATGTGGCAAAGCAATTACCTTTTTGTCCTGAACACAAAGTGTTATGTTTGGGGCATATCCAATACAACACATTACTGAATACCACTTTCCATTTTTTCAAGCATAATAGTGGCTGAATCATGTTATGGGTATGCTTGTAATCGTTAAGGACTGGGTAGTTTTTCAGGATAAAAAAAATGGAATGAAGCTAAGCACAGGCAAAATCCTAGAGGAAAATCTGGTTCAGTCTGCTTTCTACCAGACACTGGGAGATGAATTCAGCTTTCAGCAGGACAATAACCTAAAACACAAGGCCAAATCTACACTGGAGTTGATTACCAAGAAGACAGTGAATGTTCCTGAGTGGCTGAGTAACAGTTTTGATTTAAATCTGCTTGAAAATTATGGCAAGACCTGAAAATGGTTGTTTAGCAATGACCAACAACCAATTTGACAGAGCTTGAAGAAATTTGAAAAGAATAATGGGCAAATGTTACGTAATCCAGGTGTGGAAAGCGCTTAGAGACTTACCCAGAAAGACTCACAGCTGCCAAAGGTGATTCTAACATGTATTGACTCAGGGGTTTGAATATTTATTGAATCAAGACATATTAGTGTTTATTTATTCATGTTTTGTTTTGCAAATGTTCGAATTTTTCTTCCACTTTGACATTACAGAGTGTTTTGTGTAGATTGTTGACAAAAAACGACAATTAAATCCATTGTAATCCTACTTTGTAACAAAACAAAATGTGGAAAAAGTCAAGTGGTGTGAATGCTTTCTGAAGGCACTGTAAGTGTGTCCAATGACCTGATCCACAGCAATGAAGGTGAAAACAAATGTTGAAATAGGCCTACTTCCTTTTTTATCTAGATTTAAAGTAAGACAAAACATTTCTCCCTCAGAACAAAATAGCACATGGAACAGTGGGTCATGTTTTTAAATGTAGATCAGTCCAATTGCTCATAATGTTATGCAAACAGTATGACGTAGCGCCGCTGTGTGGCTGAAAATAATGTAGGCCTAATAATACGTCACCATAAGATCATCAACCAAGCTGAGAGCGAAATGTGTTGTGCACTTGGAAAAATCATCTGCATACATTCTGTGATAATTCTACAAAAATAAAATGCATGTAAAATAACATTCTAAGTTCACAAAATGTCACTAATCAAATCTACAATAGGTCTAATAGCATGCATGCCTAAGCCTCAACAAATGACAGACAACCACTGTACAAATGACACTCGATTTATTCAATAACATGTTCATTTTATAGGCTACAATAGGCTAACAACAAGAGAACGAATAAGATGTAATGGAATAGGTACATGTGAAGAGTTTCATTCCAAAACGTTATATAGACCTACCCATTTTCAGAAATGTTGGTAAATTCGCTTTTATTGTTTACACAAATTATGAAAGAGATTATTGGGTTTTTTCACTATCTAATCATGGCATGGGGTTGTTCAATGAGAGACATGTATTTGTTTAAAATCTATCACTTGATAGTTTCATTTTAGAGAGACATAATTATGTTTTCTTGCAAAATGCTAAATATCTGCCTCACTCTCAGAGAAAAATAGGTAGTACTGCTAGGTTTTTCACAGTCAAATGTAACAAGTAACTACATTTTTTATAAAGAAATGTACAAGTGATACATTTGGGACATCAATATATATTTTTTAAATCTACTTTTTTTATACAGTAGTATGAGATCTGTATGTAAAACAATTAGCCTACATTTGACATTTTACAGGATATGAACATTCCATTCGAGCAAAAAGATGGATATATAGCATTTTGTTAAAACAATTTTAAAAAATCACACACAACAAAATCTGAGAACAGTAATATTTTACACAGAAATTAAGGTACCCATAAGCAATCATTTCTGATGAAAAAACACAAATGTGAAAAATTGGTGGATATAGCTTTTTGGAAATGTGTGGAAAAATATATCTTGACAATCTAAAGACCATATGCCCGATTTGAAATTAGTTTACAATCCGATGTCATATGACATGTCTAATCAACACACAATTTCATGCATGATATCAAATGGCATTTGCAGCCTACAATTTCAAAGACAGAATATCTAAGAGGTTTTAAGTGTTAATCGAACAATCTATTTATTTATTTTCGTGCATAAAAATGTCGAATCTGTGTGTAAAATGTCAAAATAGACTACAAGGAAAACGTATAAAAACTAAAAGGCAAACCCTTTTGTAGTCGTAACTAAAGGAGACACCTGCACTGCATTGTAAACTGTCTGTGTAGGCTACATCTACATGTAGGCTTAACATAACAAAGGCTATTTAAAGTGACGATATATCTTTATCTCCATAATATTTTTAGAGTCGCAGTAATATCCCTACTTTGAAAAGAACACTGCAAGCTTATTTGAGATCAAATCAGTATGTATATGCCTAATTAATAGCCACCTGATGGCGCTAGAAGCCAGACAATCTCTTGCAGACACCAGGGGTGCGTTCAGCAGGACGCAACGTTTTGGAACGTTCAGGTAGAAAGAACATGCATCTCTGACATGTAGAATAAGGAATTACGTCGGCTCTATTTGTAGTATTTCTATCTGCAACGTTCGAGAACGTTTTCGTACTGAACACAACAGTCATGTCTTATCAACGAGAGAAAAATAGGCAAGAAAATGGTTCTTAATCTAGATTTTGTTTGAAATAGGCTACATATAAAAAATAAAATAAACAACAACAAAAAAACAAGCATGTCATTCAATTTGAAACTTTCCACAAATGTTTAATGATTTGCCCATAGGCCCATTCACTTAGGATTTTAAAAAATGTTGGTCCACAAGACAACATTTCAAGAGGGAAAATCATAATTCATAGGCCTAATTTTAAAAGGCGCGCCTTCAGCTATCATTGTGAATTATGATTAGGCCTTTTTAAACTACATTATTAGTAGATTTAATAGGAGTCAATTGTAGTGGTTATTGATATTATTCAGGTTGTTGATGTTGTTGACACAGCTGATGTGCGAGGCAGACACAGAACCAAACGGTCCCGGGGGTTGGAGGTTGTGACTGTGGTAGAGAGTCGGTGTCGACCCCGGCCAATACGAGAATCCAGACGAACCGACGCCTGGACCAACCAGGTTTAGCTTTGAAATCCCTGAAAAGGGAATGGGGGCAAAATTACTCTGGAATTTATAAAGAGCTTGCTCGGTTGTCGAAGGTTGACAAACCTGAGCCAACCCGTGAAAGTCGAACTTGTAAGCATATCGCTTCCCATGGACCTTTGTCATGATGTTTTTGTCGTAGTAGTAGCGCAATGCGCGGCTGAGTTTGTCGTAGTTCATGTTGGGCTTGCTTTTGCGCTCGCCCCATCGCCGGGCCACCTCATCTGGTTCAATTAGCTTGAATTCTCCATTCGTCCCTTCCCAGGCGATGCAAGACATGTTGGCGCTGTCTGACAGGAGTTCGAGGAGAAACTGCCATAGCTGAATCTGTCCACTGCCTTTTCAAAATAACACATAATAATATACATTTGTGACGGGGACAATACGGGAAAATAAGCATTAATTATTTGATAGAATATTTGAAAAATGTATTTAACTTCATTTCCAAAATAAATGGCCAATTACGCATAGAATAAACATGTCGATAACCTATCAGTAGTTGGACAACAATTTGGTTAAATTTCATCAATGTCTATATGTCTTGCAATTACAAAAGCACGAAAGAAAAATATTTGTCTAAAAAGGATGCCTAGTTCACAAACAACACAATGACGTATTTATTGTGCACTCAGAAAAAAGGGTTCATTGGGAGTTCCATGTAGAACGTGTTATCATTTTCTTTCAGCTGATTAATTATCTCTAATCAAATCAATGGCAGTGATTCTATGGACTGAAGATTATAAAAAAATGTAAAAGGTAAAGCTTATATTCATTAATAAAAATGCTCGGAATGCCTATAATACTTACTGGGTTGGGATGCATAAAATAAATACAAATTTAAACATTTTCTTACCTTTTTGCACTCCTGTGTTTATGGGACTCCAGGATGCACCTTTGCTTTCTTTCAACAGATTTTCTGTTGGATCTGCAATAGACCGGTCATTAACACAAATAAATATGTTATTAAACCAATATTATTTGAAAATATAGCATATATTCATGTAAAATAAGTATTCATTGCAAAATTATATGTTAAAATACAATAACAATTTGAAATATTTCTCTTCAGATTGAAAATATGATCAAAAGCATTTAAAAACTATGGTTGTAGCTTATAATCTAGTCTCTAACTAATGCTCTGTTTTGTAATATTTGTGGTTTCTTCCTCCAAGCTTTACGGCTGAAGCCAGGAAACGCGTTCAGGAAAGAGGATATCCGATTTCCGACAAAAGAGGATACGTGCTACAGATTGAAAAGGCAGAGCAGTCGATAGCTAGAAGCAGAATCACTATCCAAGGAATAAAGACGATTTCCCTCATCTGAATAGCCTATAAAGCAATAATATTTCAAATATCACGTACAAAAGCACGAACCTGAGAGATACATGTTAAACATAAGGTTTCCTCCGCAGTTCTGTCTCATTGTAGCTGTTGTTCAAGAAAGGGTTGGATTTCATTCGGGCAAAGATTTTTATTAAACTTTATCTCATAACTGTGATCTGGAATAAATGTGGGACAGATTGAAGTTTCCAGGCAACTGTCACGAACCCCATCTCTGAGACAATATTCAGACAGCAATTTCCTCTGGTGCATTGCTTTAATTAAAAGAGCAATTTGCCTCTGTCATCTCTCCCCGGTCTCCACAATAAAAAGATCCGAGAGAAATTCGGCCTTATCAATCCACCATCAGAGTTTAATAAAGTTTCCGCGTTAAGATCAGAGTTTCTATGGAGAATTGAAGTGTTTGACATGGAAAACCAGTTCAGATCCCCTCTCTTTTCCGCCTCTTTACCTCTTTGCAAACACAGAGACCTATTTCATTTTGGAAAATAATATTGACCTTAAAAACACGCCTCAATGCACCTGGGAAAACAAGAACATTGTATCACCAACCTTCTGTTTATGGGTATAAGGCTATATACAATCGGAGTGTAATGAGGCTAAATCTAAAACAATATCTTAAATTATGTTTAACGATGTAAAGCCAGGAGAGAACAATTCTCTATTAATCAAAAGCAATCCTGCGACGACAAACGTCCAAGCTACCTCACAAGGCCCCATCCATGATCCACAAAAGGCCATTAGCCTAATAATAGCATAATAATAACAACAATTGACCGAATAATAATAATAATAATAATAATAATAATAATAATAATAACTACAATAGGCCTAATAATAATAATAATAACTACAATAGGCCTAATAACAATAATAATCTAAGGAATCATAATCATACTCAGAACCATACCCATTATTATGATCATAATAGGCCTAATAATACAGAGGCTCGGTATAATAATAATAATAATAATAATAATAATAATAATAATAATGCATTTTCTTTATTCAGATTTTCCTTGAAATACAATAACTGCCTCCATATAAAAGTAGCCTAGTCCTAGCCTAAGGAATAGGAAGAAAATGCATTGTGGGCAGATAACATTAATGAGATGAGCTGTGAAAATATTCAGTGATTAAGTGCAATAAAAAGGGAATAACAGTCACAGTATTTAAGGCAAACACTTTATTAGTTGTCATATGCCATCGACACGCAAAATGTACAGCAAATTGTAGATTTTGTAGACATTCTAAAACGTTTTCTGCTACTTTTACCAATTTAATAATAGGTATTTCTAATCACAACACATGTCAATAATTAAATACACATAATAAACATAACATAAACATAAACATAACATTTCATGTAAATCACCATGCATTGATGCAAATGAAATATTTGCAAGAAAATGTGTTATGTGTGCGCGTGTATGAAGTCATAGTTGCCCAGTGCAAAGATAACAGGAGCAAACGATATGAGACCTGAGAGTATGTATGTGACTGCTAAGCAAGGCTATTATATGACTCATGGAGTAGGCAATTATATTCCACGTCCCCACCACGCCTCTCCCTCCACCGTTTCCGCTGCTGCTGCTGCACTCAGAAGAGTTGTGTCTGGCGTCCCAGACTTGCTTTAGCTGCCTGAGTCTTTAAACAGGTCGCAGGCAACTTAAAACAAGCCTCGAATGCTAGATCATTTTCGAAAGGTTTGAATTAAATATTATTGGCCCATTCTGGTGTACTCCAAGTTATAGTTTCAGTTTTGATGTCCTTGTTGTATTTATAGTTTCACCTTAAATATTTGTCCATTCAAACAAAGGATAGGCTATAAAACACTTCAGGTCGAATCATAATTTGACACCTGTGCGCATAAATCATAATGTCGGTGGTGGTAGTTATGCACGAATCTCAAATTAGGATTCCACCCTTCAATAACACTTTACATAAGGCCTATTGACTGTAAAGCAATCCCACATGAAGGCATATATAATTGTATATATCTGATTACAAAATGAGACCATGCTATGTGCGCACAGGAAATCGATTGTGAGAAGCCAAGAAAAGTGCAGTGCCTCCTGCATTTAAAATAATTCCCAACTCGTTCACAGGCAAAGAGAATACTAGGCTACCTAAAAACTATTTCTATCTTCTCTTACTCATCGTTGCACTTACCAGTTTTACGGGATTGAAAACACAAGCAACAGTGGCCTAACCTATTCCCCTCACCATCCGAAACGACTGCCAAGGTCCTCTGCACTGTGCGGCCGTTTTAATCAGTCAGCACAGAAATGTGTATTTGGGAAAGGTGTGTATGGTTGAACATTTATTAAAAGATCCTGGACTGGGTGTGGGCTTGTGTCTTTTACCGGTCTGCGGTTCATGAATGTCCTAGACCTGAACTGTGAGACGACTCAGCAAACAAACATTCAAAGCAGGATGTAGCAAGTATGACTTAAAACGTAATCCGGTTCAAGAAAACATGCATATATGATCCACAACTTGGCAAATGTATTAGCAGTATTATGCAATGGCAGTCTTAACGATAGCCTGACGATATATAGTGGGGCTATCCCCCAATTTATATAGTTTATTTGGTGTTAAATGAGTTTGACATGGCCGCAGTAACATAGGTCATCACCTTGGACAACTCACATTGTCTGGCTGCACGTTGGTCGACTTGGGCCAGGTTTGGAGAGTAGCCTACTTAATTTCATATTAAGAGCCTTCTGCCTTCATTTATTGATATGATGGTTGTTGAGTGAAACATACACTACATGGCCAAAAGTATGTGGACACCCGCTAGTCGAACATCTCATTCCAAAATCATGGGCATTAATATGGAGATAGCCCCCCTTTGCTGCTATAACAGCCTCCACTCTTCTGGGAAGGCTTTCCACTAGATGTTGGAACATTGCTGCGGGGACTTGCTTCCATTCAGCCACAAGAGCATTAGTGAGGTCGGGCACTGATGTTGGGCAATTAGGCCTGGCTCGCAGTCGGCGTTCCAATTCATCCCAAAGGTGTTCGATGGATTTGAGGTCAGGGCTCTGTGCAGGCCAGTCACGTTCTTCCACACCAATCTTGACAAACCATTTCTGTATAGACCTCGCTTTGTGCACGGGGGAATTGTCATGCTGAAACAGGAAAGGACAGTCCCCAAACTGTTACCACAAAGTTGGAAGTACAGAATCGTCTAGAATGTAATTGTATGCTGTAGCGTTAAGATTTCCCTTCACTGGAACTAAGGGGCCTAGGCCGAACCATGAAAAACAGCCCCAGACCATTATTCCTCCTCTACCCAACTTTACAGTTGGCACTATGCATTGGGGCAGTTAGCGTTCTCCTGGCATCCGCCAAACCCAGATTAGTCCGTTGGACTGCCAGATGGTGAAGCTTGATTCATCACTCCAGAGAATGCATTTCCACTTCTCCAGTCCAATAGCAGTGAGCTTTACACCGCTCCAGCCGACGCTTGGCATTGCGCATGGTGATTTTAGGCTTGTGTGTGGCTGCTTGGCCATGGAATCCCATTTCATGAAGCTCCCAGCGAACAGTTCTTGTGCTGACGTTGCTTCCAGAGGCAGTTTGGAACTCAGTAGTGAGTGTTGCAACAGAGGACAGACAATTTTTATGTGCTACGCGTTTCAGCACTCAGCGGTCCATTTCTGTGTGCTTGTGTGGCCTACCACTTCGCGGCTGAGCCGTTGTTGCTCCTACACGTTTCCACTTCACAATAACAGCACTTACAGTTGGCCGGGGCAGCTCTAGCAGGGCAGAAATCTGACAAACTGACTTGTTGGGAAGGTGGCATCCTATGACGGTGCCACGTTGAAAGTCACTGAGCTCTTCAGTACGGGCCATTCTACTGCCAATGTTTGTCTATGGAGATCGCATGGCTGTGTGCTCAATTTTATACACTTGTCAGTAGCCGAATCCACTCATTTGAAGGGGTGTCCACATACTGTTGTATAGGCTTCATGGTAGGTTACTACAAAACACAACATTTGCTACAACAAATGGTGGAAACAATAGTGATCTCTTGCTTTTGTTTATTGGAAATAAGATACAATCTGACAAGAACAATATACATCCTATCCTAACAGAAAGGTGGTATTTACCCTGGGTTATGTATTGATGTATTTGTCATATCATGAAATGCCTTTGTGATTCACTTGTGTTGGAGTATACAGCTAGCTGCTGTGGCAATGGGTTGTTAAGACTCTACCACAGGCTATTGAACAGATAATAGCTAGCTATATGTCCTGATCAAGAGTACGTTTTTTTATTTAAAGCAAGGAATTGCCACAAGCACTCTGTTTTCTGTAGTTTGAATAAAGCCTTTATTGCCTAGTTTAATACATGTCATGGCATGGTCAGTACATGGTAGCCGCTGGAGGATAGTGTCAGGTGGACTTAGTGCTGGATTCTGCGGATAGACTGGACCTGGTTGGTGTGAGCCTGGGTGCTGTACTCATTGTAGTGTCTGTACTCTCCCTGGTGTCTGTCTCTCTCCAGGATGTACTGGTAGCCACGGTAACCGGGGAACTGATAGGCCACCCAGCTGTGAAGAGAAGGGCACATGTTATTCAGTTGATAATTTTTCTAATGGCACTCTATCACACAACAGATATGAGGCTGCTATGTATGTAATATGTGACCGGATGCAGTCCTAAGCTGTTATGAAATGTACAAAACCAATCGTCTTGGAAAGTAATGGGTGATTATGTCTTTGTCAATATAGTTTACGTATCAGAGAGTGTTTATAACGAAGGCATATATAGGTTACAGAAATAAGAAAATACTTACGCTCCGGAGTTGACTTTAATTGAGGGAACCTCCTTGCTGCACCAGCCCATAGCCTGTAGAGATGGGTAGTCATCGCACATCTCGAACTTGCGTCCCTGGAAGTCTTCACACTCATACAGAGTCACCTTGCTGTCACTGTGGTTCTGTTGATAGAGGTGCATGAGCCTTAATTAGTTTATGGCTTCATCATATTTTAGAGATTTGGGAAAAATCCAAAACAGATGGATTTGAGAATTGTGGTGTGATGGTATGATGACACAATATAAACACAAGCATCATATGTGAATATATTAACCTTTAATAAAACATTATTATTATTCCTGTGCTTCATTCCTAAATATGCTTCAGATGAGTGCTTTTCTTTATCCTTGAAATTACATATTTGTGTGGGAGGAACTTACAGCACACTTAATAGGTCTGAAGGAAAGCATATGCTCGGTTCTGTAACTGCTGTTTCCGCTCCAAGCCTCGTAACGGGGGTAGTCTCCCTTCTCAAGGATGAATTGCTGGCCCTGGAACTCAGGGTACTCAAAACCCACCCAGCTAAACGACAGGCAGGGAGAGAGAGAGAGGGAATGAGAAAGAAAGAGAGAAAGAGAGAAAATAGAGTGTCAGGTTAGTTAACAAAAGCGCAACGCCCCATGGCACAGAGTGCTTTGTTGATTACAGGACAAAGGGCCAAAGCAAACACCACATGCTGCGCCTTTGGACCATTATCAGATCGCCAGTCAGCCGCTTGAACAGAACACAAGGCAGGCAGCTGGGACTAAATGGAGATTACAACAGTAGCCTACTTTGACTGACTGTCAGAAACAAAACAACGAGCTACATTTCGGGCTAATAACTCACACAAATCGATGATCTCTTGTATTGCATTCAGCTATAACATTTGGTCCATAACAATGTAAAAATGATACATAAACTATATTGCACACAGATTGCCCAAATCAGACTATCAAGTGTTGAGGGAAACACAGTGGACATGATAATGATAACGAAATGTAGCATTGTCATACCAAGCTTTGCTTATCAACTGAGGGCAGGTTCACAACAGTACAGTACAACTGCAATGTAGAATATAATATTCAAGTATACATTAGCTTCTGAGAGGAACTAAGGCTAGAAATGAATGTTATATTGAATACATTTCTCACCTTTTACTCAAACACAACTAGAATCTATGACCTGAAAATCCTCAAAACCATTGGTTGACCAAACAACATCCATGGATCTAATATAGTAAAACTACATTACTACTCTACCAATAATGTAGTACAGCTCCATTGTTTTAGGCTGGTGTAGACATCCAAAGAAAGACTTACGGTCCGTTCTCGACCTTGATGGAGCGGATCTTTTGGAATCCCCTCTCCATGATGTTCTGACACTCCAGCATGAACTCACAGCGCTTGCCCTGGAAGTTCTCCTCCTCCCAGACAGTGATCTTGAACTGGCCCATCTGTTCCATCTGCTGAGTGTTCATGGTTGCTATTTCCACCGTGGGTTTGCTCTCTACCAAATGGGGACAAGGAAGACCAGAGGTGAGGAAACTAGGCTAAAACGGAGAGCTTCACTTTGGGTTCTCTGGTAGCTAGCTATAGATGAAAGTGAACATTGATTCCTGAGCAAAGTACGAAGCACCAAACAACTCATGTTGAATGAGTTGAGCTCTCAGTTTGCACTGGGGAAATATCAGATACAAATATCAGATACATATCTCCCATATTGGATGTAATCAATCCCACTGGTTGGTACGCCAATGCACAGGAATCAGATGTTCACATTCTACCTAGGTAGTGTAAATACTTACAGACAGTACTGAGGTGGGACAGATCCAGTGTAACAATGTCGAGTCCTAGGCCCTCACTTCTGTTTTTATACTACCAAGCCCCTCATTTACTGCCGCTTTCGCACAGGCTTTGCATACTCAGCAGCGGCAGGCTGAAAGCATGCATTAGTCCACACCATTGTGGAGGCTCCAGAGGCCCATTGTGAGAAGCTTAGATCCACTGACTCATCAATATGGTACCCAGAGCCTGTGCCTGCCTGACGACCGGCCACAATAGCAACACACTGACACGACAGTTTGATTGGAAATTGGGGATAATGGCAGCATTCTTGGAGATTAACCCCAGAGGTGGGTACAAAGGCACCAATGTATGGTTGCCTGTACCCCTGCCTCAACACAGCACCCAACATGGCACCACTATCATCTCTCATTGGAAAGATGAGAAGACAGACTGATTTTCATTTCAGGAATATGTAATATTCTTTAATGTTAGATCATGTTTATACTTCATATGGCTTAAAAGAAAGCATTTTAAATGTATAACCTTTTTAATACCTGTTGTTTTTCACGCTAAATCTATTCTCGTCATATTAATTGAAAGGAATGTGAGAAAAGATTCTGACATGTTTCTAGTAGCACTCAATTCTCAGGGATTTACAATGCAGATTGTTCTATGTATTCAGTGTTCTTCAGTTATTGAATTGTCAATGGGTCCAAATTGTTTCTGTGCCTTTGTGGAGCTTATGAATGCAAAGTGGAATGTGGACCTGTGTATCAATAAAATGTATTTATAAAGCCCTTTTTACATCAGCAGATGTCACAAAGTGCTATACAGAAACCCAGCCTAAAACCCCAAACAGCAAGCAATGCAGATCTAGAAGCACGGTGGCTAGGAAAAACTCCCTAGGAAGAAACCTAGAGAGGAACCAGGCTCTGAGGGGTGGCTAGTCCCCTTCTGTATCTTCTCATCAATATGGATGGTTGACTTATAAATGTGTATCATATTTTATTTAAGAAGGCGCTTGGATATTGCAATGTTACTTCATGATCTGGAATCTTAGTATAATAATACAAATGGAACCTAGTGATGTAAATCAACTGTAATAATACCTGTCTGCAGTGACATCTTGTGGCATAATAGTTCATTACAGTGACTGATGATAATAGGCGGTAAATATGATGATACATTTGAAGTGAGGCAACATATCGCAGAGACATATGGTCAGGTCAGGTGACAATATAATAGAAAGAGCAGTCTTTGAATACAGTATGCATAATAGTATTGTATTTTCATGAACAAATTCACTTGGTGAGGGCTTTAGAAGGGTGTTGGCCTGACTCTTGGGTGGCGTCCCAAATGGCACCCTATTCCCTATAAATTGCACTACTTTTGACCAGAGCCCTATATAGTGCACTACTTTTGACCAGAGCCTTGTTGCACTGGTCAAAACTAGCGCACTAAGGAATAGGGTGCCATTTGGGAATGAGCCTTGGAACATTTACATTTCAGTTTACTTCCTGAATTGACTGGATTGAAATGGAATTGACCCCAAAGCTGTTGTAGACCTCAATTTACTTGCTGATGAAAATTGAAAATAATCAGACTTCAGACTTGGATGGTTCCCCTGCAATGCGTTTTTATTGTAGTTATACCCTTTTCTGTTGTCTCTGTGTGTGGCCACGTGTGTGCCTATATGCTTCATTGCTTGTGTGTACAGCAGCCCCTTTGAGTGGGGAGGGTTCATTGTTCTGTCTTACCTGTGTGGCCTTGTTTGCCCTGGGGCAGGTGAACATGGTGACAGAGCAGTAGTCACCCATCTGCTGGCCTTTGATCCCCCATTAGAGAGATTAGATTTGTCAACTCATCAGCTGAAGCCTAATTTCACTTGGAAATTCAGCTCTCCCTATTTGCATCTGACACATAGGGCCTACAGTACAGGCTCAGAACACAGAACTCTACTTTGAATCTTCATCTCCTTTGCAGTAGTAGTAGCTGTAAGGTTCTGTATTTATTTTCTTAGTCAACCTTGTGTTCTTGAACGTAGCCCTGTTTCTTTGTGTTCTTGAACGTAGCCCTGTCTTTCATTTTTTGTTAATTGACTTCACCTGTGTTAGTTACTCACCTGGTCTCATCAGCTCCTTATTTAGTTCAGTTCATTCTGTTTGTGCCTTGTGAGGTATTGTTTGTTTTGACTACTAAGCCTTGTCCTAGCTCGTTTGTGAGAACCAGTTATAGCCTTCAGTCCTAGTTTTTGATTCTCCTGCCTGTTTGCCTACCTGTGTATGACCATTGCCTGCCTGTGACCACGATTCCTGCCTTTTGCGAAAGCGAAATAAACACCTGCTGCGCCCTGCGCGTGAATTTACACATTTTTCTCCCTGAGTATTCATTACAGTAGGAAAGTAGTAGGCTAGTCTATTCCTCTGAACTGGTCGCATGGGTCTCTGATAGAGGGGATATTGCTCATGAAACTTTTAAATGATCGGTTGTAAATGAAATGGGACCTTTTCTAAATAAAATATGCTTTGAAAAATTATTATATCAGATGCTTTTCACAATAACAATTAATATTTATTTATTGTGCATTAGAAAAGTGTAGGCTAGTCTATATTAATTTGTCTCTGGCTACAAATATCTTTATATTTTAGAAATAACTTATCTTATTTTAGATATTTTAGATACCATTTAATATCTTATTTGTGTTGGATAAAAAGAGACAACGCATAGAAATGTCTATGTATGGTCCACTGCACTTCGACAGGTTGACCACTTCATTTAGCAATGTTGGCAGCATGTTTTCCCTCCTGAGTAGCCTAACCTGCAAACAGCTAGCTGAGGTGCAGGTTGGAAGAACCAGTCAACCAGGCAGCAACCAGAGCAAACAACATTGTTTGAACATCTGTTTTTCCTTCCTCCCTGCATTTTCTCGTATCTATTCATTGTATCTTACACTGTTTGGGAAATAAACCATAGAGTGATGTGAGATGAACCAGGCTAGAGACAACTTTATTTATTCACACTTTTCCTTCTTAATTTCTTTTTACATCAATATCCCTCCATAGGGCAACGTGTACGTGTGATAACTGTGTGGTGTAAGTGAGGCAGACTGTTTCTCAGGATCCAGTTTCTCCATGGTAACAAAGCCATCCAGCCTGTGCCTATCTGACTTAGTCAGGGAGGTTGCGTAAGCACTGATGTATTGTCAGGAAGGGATGCTGCTATTGCTCACAAATTCATAGTTTCAGGTTACCCTTCAAATTGATTTTGTATTTTATTTGTATTTATACAGGGAGTCAACATTGAGACCCAGGTCTCTTTTTCAAGTGAGCCACTCAAACAACATACAAAAATATGATGCATATTGCTATAGAATATACATTTAGTTGCACCCCCTTTTGCCCTCAGAACAGTCTTAATTAGTCTGGGCATGGAGTCTACAAGGTGTCAAAAGCATTCCACAGGGATGCCGGCCCATGTCGACTCCAATGCTTCCCATTGCAGTTGACACACTCAAACCAGTGCACCTGTCAACTACTACTATACCCCGTTCAAGGGCACTTAAATATTTTGTCTTGCCCATTCACCCTCTGAATGGCATAAATACACAATCCGTGTCTCAATTATCTAAAGGCTTAAAAATCCTTCTTTAACCTGTCTCCTCCACTTCATCTACACTGGTTGAAGTGGATTTAACAAGTGACATCCACAAGGGATCATAGCTTTCACCTGGATTCACCTGGTCAGTCTGTCATGGAAATGTTTTGTACACTCAGTGTATGTTTGAACCAAGTACATATCCATACACATACCTGATCAGACGCTGATCCCAGCATGTGCAAATATTCACTTACAGCACCTTTCTTCAGAATATCGCCTTGAGGAGACACAACTCAATAGATGACAAATGGCATACAATACAACTTTATTGTCCAATGTGAATCAGAAATGTATCTTTTTGCTTTTTTATGTTTAATTAAACACAGTTCCAGGAATGGCTAAAAGGTTGTAAATGGACAGGTCTTGTTTTCTGCTTCAATGTGAGTTGGTGCCACTTGAATAGTCAGTGAGTGAGCAGACACAGACCACCACCAAATGACCTGCTCCCTGTGTGTTTTTCCCCTCTCTGCTGCTATAGAAACGAATCCTCCTAAGGACAAATTTGAACAGGCCATGACAGCTCATGCAGGTGACATCTGCTCTGTGAATGGCTCTGGCTCTGCGTCGGAGTGAACCACAACAGACAGTCAGGATTTACCCGAGGCCAAGAGAGGGTACCTCCGAAATGGTACCCTATTCCCTATATAGTGGACTACAAAAGTAGTGCACTACATAGGGAATAGGGTGCCATTTCAGACGCATCCAGAGAGGTGCTGCAGAGCCCTGGGTTCTCCCCCTCCTTCTACCCGCCTCTGTGCTCACTGCTTAGGTAAAGCCAGGCGGTTACAAGAGAAACAACCCCCAAGCATTTGCATATTTCATTAGCAACCTCTTTAACTGTCATTTGAAACAGCACACAGCCCACAGCCCACAGGGCAACACTTGTCCTCCACTTAGGCAACAGGTAGCAGTTGAACAGGCACCACAAATGCAATCATGCTTTTCTACAGACACACACAATTGTCTGAGTGTTATGATAGCCACGGACCTAAAGAATAACAGCCAATGGGGAAAAAACTGAGCTTATTTGATTTTACACATCATTCTCTCAAGATGATGTAATAGGATAAGATAATGTTGATTTTATAGCTGTATAGTCAGAATGAATTGAAATAGTCATCTTAAGAACAATTTGTTTGCACACAGTTTTATAGGTTGCTGAGACAGGGCAAATAATAATTTTCTTGAAGTAATTTTGTCCCAGTCATGTTTATCCATAAAACAGAACAGATATGAAATGATAAGAACATATTGCACCATGAAAGACTTGAATACTTGCTTGAGACATCAGGGAATAACAAAATAATATTGTGTGTACATATTTTACAGAGCCAATAGCTGCTCTGTAGAGTAAGTTGAGGAGGTGTCATTTTGGAGGTTTAGGCTGTAACTGCAGCATGAACTTTCACTGGCATGAGGATACAGGTTGTGAGGTCTCCTTACTCTGACTTTAAACAAATATTTACTGGGGCTTAGTCAAATAGGGAAACATAAGAGCAGAAATGATTACATGGGAAAGCCTTTACCATGCTGTTTATTGGCTCATTCATACAATGAAAACTGGATATGCAAACGTCTACCTGCAGTTATGCTCAAAATAGAATGGAACTATACAGATAATTGAGGTACAGGTGTTAATCATCTCATCGAAGTGGTGTGTGTGTGTGTGTGTGTGGTGAGGTAACTGGCACTACAGGTGATACTGTCTGAGGTGGAAACTGGAAAAGTTTCTGAAATGTATGCAAAGCAGTTATATGCCTATAGTGTATGATGTCTCTGTGCTTAACTAAAATGCAAAATGTTTTACAGTGCATGAGCAATGGAGAATGATGTGGTGTTTTTATGATGAGCTGTATGTTATAAGCTACATTCTCCATTTACTGGAATAAATGTCCAGACACCCATGGATTTCATAGTTAATTTAACAGAGTAGCCTAGCCTCTACAGAGGTGCAGATCCCAGGCAGCTGAGGATCCAGCCAGCAGATGGTCCATATCAGATGGCTGTTATTTGGCTGGTTAATGATTAAGATAACTACAATTAAGAAATGAACAGCTCCCTGATTCCCGGTGCACTCTGACATAATGATGACATGAATGGAGCTAACTGGTTGGATATCATCATTACAGCATGTCCATAAAGAAAAACCTAATGGTATTTAATAAAAGGAAATAACTAGGTAATACAAGTCTAATAACTAGTCGTATTAAAATCCATGGAGAGAACCATAGAATTTAGTGGTTAGCAAGTGTTGAGTCTAAAAACTTGTGAAAATGGTAACATAAAAACTTTATCCATATAAATCAAGTGAATACTGATAAAAAAGAATCCAGTTGGCCAAAAAAATTGGGGTTCGATATTTGTATCCGTTGACTTGTTAGGTAAATAAACCCAAATGTTCAAACCATAAGATATTCCATAGTGAACAATTTTAACAAACTGTTGTAGGACTATAATAATTTTGGTCTACAAAAATAAAAGTTTGTATTTGTGACAGGAAAAGACAGCAGCATCAACGACAACGACTTCTGTCGCAACATGAACTTGCTCTTCTGTTTTGTAGAAAATCTGTACCTGCTTAACGCGAGCCGAACGAACAAAACTTAATCTTCAGGTATTGTGCGTGTGGCTCAACGTGAGGCAAATACAGAAAATCAATCCAAATATGATGATCCCGTCTTGGAAAAGCAGTTGTAGACTACATTATACTCTCCATACGTCGCTCCGTCCCCACACCTGGAAAGGTGTAAAGGTTAATATTGTTGCCTAAACAGAAATATGTAGCATACCTGTCTGTAAAAGTGTCATTCACAGTTTAATCCAACATAAAAATGTGTCCGACATAAAACTTACCATTGCCTATCTATTGTCGAAAAAAGTGAGAAGGCATTTTAAAAACGCACTAGCAGTAATACCTGCGCATTGTGTGCATCTTATAGGCAACTCTAAATGCGTGTGGCCCGTTGAAGGTAGCCTATATATACTCCTGACATGGTAGGCCATCCTTCCATTTAGCTTCTCTCTCCCTCTTTTTTCAGGTTGGATTTAAAGAGAGAGAGGATTCTCCAGTGGACACCTGTCGCACGGTGCGTTGCTCAAATCCAATATTGACACAAGAGTCAGGGGGAGGGAGGGCAGACGTAGATGAGTTTAGCTCTTTATTATGCCAACCCTCCATCTCTATGCAAACCAACCGTGCGTTGCGCTCCGTCCAATCGACGAGATGGCAGGATTTGCTGACCTTTGTGCTTAAGCTGAACCGGTGGAAAATGGGACATTCAAAGGTAGCTTTATTCACCTGTGTTGAAGGTAGGAGAAAACCCACCTGCCTGCCTCCCTGCTCTGTTCCCCCATCATGTCATTTACACATATTTCCATATCATGTGGCTTGCAAATTAGTTCCTTAACTAGTCATCAGACCTTGCCTTGCAAAAAGACTGTGGTGTGTTATGTAGACTGCCTGATTTCACAAATAGTAAAAAGAAAGTAGATACCATACAAACTGAAACAAGCCCAACATATTCACTGTTTATTAGTGGCTAGGGTATACAGCATAGACTACACCTGGATGGCACACCACAAATAACCATCAGAGGGCTATAGACTTCACTGGTTCATCATACATTGGCATCAAATATATACTGTGTTGTAAACACAACTCAATTGATCGTTGTAATGTCAATGAATTAATATACAATTCCAAGGTTTGTTTTGTAAGCTGAATCTTTTAAGTCTTCCATCTGTAGAAAACACCCTTGATGAAAAGGATCACAATCCTAGAGATGTTTATAGAGACTTCAAAGAACACTGATAATTACAGCAAATGAATTTATTGAATTCATTTCACAATTCCATATAACTGGTCAACACAAATCATTTCGAAAAATGCTAATTAGATTATCATATAAAAACAACACTATGGAGGGGAAAACATGTCCCTGTTGCCAAAGGCTAAAATTAGCGTCATCGTAGTTCAGTTGATTTAGCAAGTTTTGTAACTAGTTGTGGCTAAGAGAAAGAACAGGTCTCAGCAGCTGGTTGGAGGGAATAATCATGGTTTCACATTAGCGATGTGGTGTCTGCTCTACTCTTTGTCTGCATCCCAAATGGCACCCAATATAGTGTACTACTTTTAAACATGGCCCAAGTGCCTACTCCTAGTTTGCATCCCAAATGGCACCCTATGCCCTACATAGTGCACTACTTTTGACTAGGGCCCATAGGGCTCTGGTCAAAAGTAGTGCACGAATGGGTCCTGGTCAAAAGTAGTGCACAATATATAGAATAAGGTGCCAATTAGGATGCAGCCCCAATCTTTGACGTCTCATTGGCTTGACGTGTTGAGTCTCTTGGTGTAGGCGTTCCAGCCTGCCTCTCTGTACTCTGCAGCAGCCTTCACCCTATCAGAGGCCCCCAGGATACCACGGCCTACGATGATGATGTCAGAGCCTTTTTTACATATCACATCATCAGGACTGGAGTACTGCTGGCCCAGACCATCTCCTGAAACAGAAAGGATGGAGATTATGATAAATGAACAGTGTGGTACCCTACAGTTTGTTACTGAAGAGGTAAAGAAAACTCTGAAAACAAGGGCTGCCTTCAAAATGGCACCTTATTTTCAACATAGTGCACTACTTTTTACCAGTGCACTATGTAGATAGGGAGCCAATACAGACGCAACCAAGATAAGTGACCCAGTCTTCATTTATTGGACACTAGCACCATCTTGTGGCAATGAGCAATTACAACAGGACAAACATTGGCTGAGAATGACAGAACACTGGACAGGATGGATGAAGTTAACAGGTATAGAGTGTGGTACCTCCTGACTGCATCTGCACCCCTGGAGTCATGTGTACAAACTCAGGCTTGCTGCTGATCTTGGAGCCAGAGATGAACCCAAAAACAAATTCAGAGTACTCCTCAGCCATTTTCACCTATGGAATGACAGAAAAAATCATTTGAAATCCTCAAGGATGAAAGATTAAGGATTACATTAAGGTATCCAACTATTACTTCAGTTAAGCTGTCCGATGGTGATGGAATAATTAATCCATTTTGGACTGGAAAATGACACTACGCAAACATCCTTATTCATCCTTATTAAAACATACTAGAATGTAATCAGGCTTTCACTGTCGCCATGCAAGATGATAGTGTGTCCTGAATGTAACACATTGCAGAGGGCTGTGGGAGGTTAGAGAGAGGGACAGAACATTCTGTTCTCATGGCATTCTCACTGAGGAACAGCTTGCTGGAGCGCTTTGCTTACCACAGCCTGCGTGTAGTCCCCTGTTGCTAGGGAACCCTGGGAGCTCATCTGACCTATGAGGAGACAGCCACGGTCCAGCGGACGGCCCACCGCACTGAGCCCCTTCACCACCCCAGGGCCTGGCACCGCATGGGCATTAATGATGTGAGACCACGAGGAGATCTGGTAGAGCCCACCTGAGAAATACAGAGGAAAACACACGACAGTCAGGAGACCTAGAAATAATAGCAACCAGGTATTCATTAGGATGGATTAGGATCATCTATTTTAACACTGGGCGCGTTGGTTTTGCATAGCCTGGTGCACCGGGTGGGCAGAGGTTTGCACATTTGAAACCATTACATTGGTGTTAAAGTGAAATCGCCACCCACCCTGGGCGCACGGCGATGCAAAACGAGTGCGCCTACTAATCACCTTCATACTGGTGCTTGACCGTGTTTCCGATGTCGGCGAACTTGCGGTCCTCAAAGATGAGGAAGTTGTGTTTGAGGCCCAGGTCCCTGAGGGACTGGGTGAAGGCTGGGCTGAAGTCCTGAAGGATGTCCACGTGGGTCTTCAACACACACATCTGAGGCCCCAGAGAGTCAGCCAGCTGCAGTAGCTCCTCGCAGGCCGTCATGTCTGCTGACACACACAGGTTGGTCTTCTTTTCTTCCATCAGTCTGAGGAGCTGGGCGGCCAGAGGGTGTGTATTCTGGAGCTTGGCCCTGTCTCCATAGCTCAGCTCCGCTGGCTTGCAGGGCTTTTTGGCTGCAGGTGAGCCGTTCTTCTCCTCCTCACCAGAGGGCTTGTAGGTGTTGTTCTCCTGGATGAACCTGCACACGCTCTGGGCAGTGGAAGAGTCAATGCGATCCGCCTGAAGCAGGGTGTTGAGGAGTTTGGAGATGGAGATGACGGAGTGAAGCGTGATGCCCCTCTTGGCCAGCATGGCCCCACCTCCCTGCTCCCTGTCCATCAACACGATGGCGTCTGTCACCTTTAAACCCTCCGCCTGGAGCACCAGGGCCGTCTCTATGACGCTGCTGCCGCTGGTCACTACATCCTCGATGATCAGACACGTGTCTCCAGGGTGAATTGTCCCTTCTATAATCTTCTTAGTTCCTAGGATGAAAGAGATGGAACATATTGGGGCGGCAGGTAGCTTAGTGGGTAAGAGCGTTGTGCCAGTAACCGAAAGGTCACTGGTTCTAATCCCTGAGCCGACTAGGTGAAAAATCTGTCGATGTGCCCTTAAGCAAGGCACTTAACCCTAATTGCTCATGTAAGTCACTCTGGATAAGAGCATCTGCTAAATGACTCAAATGTAAATGTATATTGTGGCCATGATGTCTGATATGAGAGATCTGAAATCTATTTAGACTGATGAAATCCTCTAACACTTTCTAGCTACAAATGTAGACTGAACTGACGGGATGCATAAAGAGAACAATCAAATTTGACCAATTATGAAATCGCACCATAGTCTTTGGCTTCTTTTCTTCGGATGAGCATGGGCAGCTCGTGTTTGGAGCAGATGATTGTAGCCAGGGGCAGAGCGGTGTATGGGACACCACACACAGAGCTGTATTTTAAGTCCTCATCTTTGGCGCGTTGATAAAGAAGACTTGACACCTAAAGGCAAACAAACCCATCAAAACACTAAGCCAACAAACTCCAACTAATGAGGTCATAACATACATTTAACTACTTATTGTTGGTCTTGATTTGATTGCCTCCGAACAGACATAGCTCAGCGTTTCCCAAACAGCAATCAAGCTTTGATAATTTCAATCAGCTGTATAGTGCTAGGGCAAAAACCAAAATTGAACCCCATTGGGGTCCCCATGACCGAGTTTGGGAAACGCTGACATTGCTGTTGTTTCCAATACTCATGGAAAACACGTGTTTACCAACCTGGTTCATGAGAGATGGGTAAGAAACAATAACTCTGAAATCAAAATAAATCGGCGAGGTTATTCCACTCTTCAGCCTGAACGTTCCGAATTTCACGGCCTGAACATCATGCAACTTTAAGATTAAACTTTTAAGGCAAACGTTTTCCATTTTCAATGTTTTAACTACATTAGCTAATAGTAAGCTAGACAGCGGTCTCTCTCCGCATCTCGTCAGACACTAAAAAAGTGTTTCCAGGTCACGGAATTTTCAAAATAAAAGTCCCCAATTTAATATTAGAAAAGTGTCATTAACATGTATTTAGTCATAATAAGATTTTTTTTGTCTAAACATTAACAATTATTAATATTTATTCATATTTAAGTGACATGTGCATTAAATGTAGGTCAAATAAATACCCCCAACGCAATACACTGTATATGAAAAACATACTGGCTTATAGAAAGAAAACTATTCTAGGTGCTGAAGTAAACGTGGGGTTGGGACTACTCACTAGGGTCTGTAGAATCTATATATTGTGTTATTTTATGGGGGACAGAGGTCTAAATGCCCAGTAACACTTTCTACTCCAACCCACTACATTGGTCCCAATGCAATACACTATGGGCCTATAAATTACATATTGGCTTATAGAGAGAAAACTATTCTAGGTGCCGAAGTAGAAGTGGGGTTGGGATTACTCAGTAGGGTCTGTAGAATCTATATATGGTGTTATTTCATGGGGGACTATGGTCTAAATACCCAAATATCCACCCACTTCCTGTTCACTACAATGCAATACACTGTAGGCCTATAGGTGATTACTTACTTCCAAGACACAATGTAAACAATGATGGACAGGCATACCTGTTAACAACCTAGATTAACCTAATGATGATGAGCCAGTTGCACCTTTTACACATTTAAATCAGCCCAAGGCCAGTGTGCACCTGTGCCAAAAAATGGATCTTGGCCTGAAACGACTTCAAATGGAGCCACTGGACACTACTAATATGGTACTGTACAGGAAAAAAACGTTAGATTTTGTCCATAAAACCAGGGTCCAGTCTACTCACTAGAGTCCCTAGAATATAAAACAGCCATTCCCCTCTTCAAGACTCAGATGAGGTCCACCAAGGCCAGAACTGCAAGGATTGGTAATAACATCTACTATGAGGCTATGCGGTCAGTGAACTCATGTTGAGTCTAAATCAACATGTAAAGTGTTGGTCCCATGTTTCATGAGCTGAAATAAAAGATCCCAGAAATTGTTAATATGCCCAAAAAGCTTATTTCTCTCAAATGTTATGCACAAATTTGTTAACATCCCTGTTAGTGAGCATTTCTCCTTTGCCAAGATAATCCATCCACCTGACAGGTGTGGCATATCAAGAAGCTGATTAAACAGCATGATCATTACACAGGTGCACCTTGTGCTGGGGACAATAAAAGGCCTCTCTAAAATGTGCAGTTTTGTCACACAACACAATGCCACAGATGTCTCAAGTTTTGAGGGAGCGTGCAATTGGCATGCTGACTGCAGGAATTTCCACCAGAACTGTTGCCAGAAAATATAATTTTAATTTCTCTACCATAAGCCGCCTCCAACGTCGTTTTAGAAAATACATCCAATCGGCCTCACAACCGCAGACCGCGTCGTGTGTATGGTGTCGTGCGAGCGAGCGGTTTGCTGATGTCAACGTTGTGAACAGTGTGCTCTATGGTGGCAGTGGGGTTATGGTATGGGCAGGCATAAGCTACGGACAACGAACGCAATTGCATTTTAACAATGGCAATATGAATGCACAGAGATACCGTGACGAGATCCTGAGGCCCATTGTCGTGCCATTCATCTGCCGCCATCACCTTATGTTTTAGCATGAAAAATGCATGGCCCCATGTCGCAAGGATCTGTACACAATTCCTGGAAGCTGAAAATGTCCCAGTTCTTCCATGGCTTGCATACACACCAGACATGTCACCCATTGAGCATGTTTGGGATGCTCTGGATCGACGCGTACGACAGTGTGTTCCAGTTCCCGCTAATAACCAGCAACTTCACACAGCCATTGAGGAGAAGTGGGACAACATTCCACAGGCCACAACCAACAGCCTGATCAACTCTATGCGAAGGAGATGTGTCACGCTGCATGAGGTAAAATGGTGGTCACACCACATACTGACTGGTTTTCTGATCCATGCCCCTACTTTTTTTTTTTAAGGTATCTGTGACCAACAGAAGCATATCTGTATTCCCAGTCGTGAAATCCATAGATTAGGGCCTAATGAATTTATTTCAATTGACTGATTTCCTTATATGAACTCTAACTCAGTAAAATCCTTGAAATTGTTGCATGTTCTTTTTATATTTTTGTTCAGTATACTGTATGTACGGTTTTTGTCGACGTTTGGCTAGCTAACTATGTCAGTGTCTGTAATAGTAGCTAGCTAGCTACCTTAGCTAGCTACCTACCTTAGCTAGCTAGCTTAGTCTGAAAGTTCTTCTGGACTGTCTTGGACACTGTTTCACTCGTTAGCTAGCTAGCTAGCTACGTTAGCTAAGTTAGCTGGCTAGCTAGCTAAGTTACCATAGCTAGATTTGACTTAATTTCCATCTGGCTTAATTTAACCAAGCTATATGGCAGGCTTATCTCATGCTTGCATGGTGATTGATTGAGTTAGCTAGCGTTACTAAACTGGTTTTCAATGGTTTCTGACAGTGGCAGCTTTAGTCAGACTTGTGAAGTTGAGGAGAATGATGCAAAATAGCTAGGTAGCTAACGTTATAGTACCTTAAATTTGATTTAGCCAAGTTAGTTTAGCTAGCTAAGTCTCAAACATTTCTTTATTTCTGTACTTAAATACCGAGATCAAGGCCAATGAATGGACAGCTTGTAAAGATACATTTTAGTCATTTAGCGACTTACAGTTAGTGAGTGCATACATTATTATTTATTTTGTTTTATTTTTATACTGGCCCCCCATGGGAATCGAACCCACAACCCTGGCGTTGCAAACGCCATGCTCTACCAACTGAGCTACATCCCTGCCGGCCATTCCCTCCCCTACCCTGGACAATGCTGGGCCAATTGTGCGGGGCCCCATGGGTCTCCCGGTCGCGGCCGGCTACGACAGAGCCTGGATTCGGTACCTGCATCTGTGGCCGCTGTGCCTACTCCTTCCCCTATGATTTCGTCCCTGCTCCATATTAAGAAATGTGACTGTTCCTGGTGCAAAAACAATGTCCTATCCCAGAGCTCGAGTAAATTACATTACTAAGCTGCTCTCGAATGTACTACGTCAGGACATGGAAATCGATTCTATCGTACTCCATGTGGGTTTTAATGACATTATGAAGGGCAGCTCTGAACAGTTGAAAGTGGATTTTAAAGAGCTGATTGACTCTCTGCTAGACACCAATAAAAGACCCCTCATATCTGGCCCTGTGCCCTCTCTGAATCGTGGCATTGAACACTTTAGCAGGATTATTTCTCTTCACAACTTGCTACGTGATTATTGCAGCTCAATGGAGGTAACTTTTGTTGACAATTTCGATACCTTTTGGAAACAAAACCCGTTTATATAAGGAGGACGGGATCCACCCAAATCATTTGGGTTCGTGGATCCTTTCAGAGCATTATAAGGCTGCGTTGAGACAATGACTTATCAATGACCCAAGCTCAGCTCAGTTAATCCCTACCATTGTGTCGCTGAGTTGTCACAATGCTTCAGCAAATGTACATTATACCAGGGGCGTTGGTAGACACAATGTAAATACCTAATTTATGTCCCTCTAACTGCCCTGAATGCCTCTGCTGATCCTATAGCTATTGTATGCAGTAATCATGTGCCAATGAACCAGAGTTATACTGTTAGCACTGAGGCGGTGTGCCCTAGCAGGAAGTCCACTGTGTGCAGCTCACCCTGCACTAACATAAATAGCATGAGTATGTCTATTTCTGCTAAACTTCCTAGTAAAGCAAGGAAAACAAGCAAGCATCCCTGAAAAGTGCTCATAATAGCCCATGTTAACATATGTAGCTTAAGAAACAAGGTTCATGAAATTAATATCTTACTAGCAACAGATGACATTCATATTCTGACTATCTCTGAAACTCACTTAGATCATACATTTGATGATACAGTGGTAGCAATAAAAAGTTATAACATTTACAGAAAAGACAGAAATGCCAATGGTGGAGGTGTTGCTCTTTATATTCAGAACCACATTCCTGTAACGCTTAGAGAGGATCTCATGTTAAATACTGTTGAAGCAATATGGCTACAGGTTCATCTGCCTCACCTAAAGCCCATTCTTGTGGGAAGCTGCTATAGACCACCAAGTGCTAACAGTCAGTATCTGGATAATATGTGTGAAATGCTTGATAATGTATGTAACATCAACAGAGAGGTATATTTTCTGGGTGATTTAAATATTGACTGGCTTTCATCAACCTGCCCACTCAAGAAAAAGCTTCAAACTGTAACCAGTGCCTGCAACCTGGTTCAGGTTATCAGTCAACCTACTAGGGTAGTTACAAACAGCATAGGAATGAAATCATCAACATGTATTGATCACATCTTTACTAATCTTTACAATATAGTAGCCATATCTAGGAAAACCAAAGTTCCAAAGGCTGGGCCTAATATAGTGTATAAGAGGTCATACAATACGTTTTGTAGTGATTCCTAGGTTGTTGATGTAAAAATATTTTTGGGTCCATGGTGTGTAATGAGGAGCAAACAGATGCTGCACTTGACACATTTATGAAATTGCTTATCCCACTTACTAATAAGCATGCACCCATTAAGAAAATGACTGTAAACACTGTTAAATCCCCATGGATTGATGAGGAATTTAAAAATTGTATGGTTAAGAGGGATGAGGCAAAAGGAATGGCAAATAAGTCTGACTGCACAACCGATTGCCAAACGTACTGCAAATTGAGAAATCATGTGACTAAACTGAATAAAAAGAAGAAGAAACTACACTATGAAACAAAGATAAATTACATAAAGAATTAAAGTAAAAAGCTTTGGGGCACCTTAAATGAAATTTTGCGAAAAAATGCAAACTCAGCTCCATCAATCATTGAATCAGATGGCTCATTCATAACAAAACCGACTGATATTGCCAACTACTTTAATGTTTTTTTCATTGGCAAGATTAGCAAACTTAGGCATGACATGCCAACAACAAACGCTGACACTACACATCCA